CCCCTCCCCGTCGGATACTACGTTTCCATTTCGATAGTGGTAATACCGGAGAAAATTGAACTAAAATGTTATAGAGCACAGCCGATTTAGAGTGAATAGACACTAATTAATACTCAGATATTATAAAAAAAATTTTTTTTTGATTGATTCGGAATTTTCTACCATTTGATCTGATGAAACTATCTCAAAAAGAAACCAAACTTAAACTTTTCATGCCTTTATTTTCGAAGTAAATCACTCAGTAGAAAGTATTTTGTGATTGCCAGATCGTTCCTTTTACCCACCCATTTTTAAAGTACTGAACTAAATATAAAATAATGAAAAAAAGTATTTTGTGACATCTGTATCTTATTTTTTCTATATTGATTGTTTTCTCAAAGCGCAGTGTATAAGATATATTCTTCTTCAGTACATTTTCGCTAGAGAAAATGTTCGGAATTGAAAAATATAAGTATCTTGCGATAAATAGATTAAGATCGTTTCTTAAAATTTCTTCTTAAGATCGTTTCGTCACGTCATTATGTGATCATTTTTTTACATAAAATATTTATTTCTCATCACAGTGTATGGAAAAATTTAAATTACTTCATTCTTTTTGTATAAATCTTAAAACAAGGTGCAAAATAAATTTAGGGGTTTCTTGTGATAGTTTATTCTTTTTTTCTAAGAAAATTTCATTACATTATATAGATTTGGAAATTTAGAACAAACAAATGGGCAATAGAAATGATTTTGTTTCTTATCATTATTACTTATTAGGTATCTATTCGTATTTAATGGTAGATAAGTTTATAGTTTTCAAAGTAGCACTTAAATTTCACAGTTTCTCACCTAGTAGCAATGAACCCCCCCCTCTCTTAGAGCATTTCAAGTTTACTACACCTAGACACCACTTATATAGCAATAGATATAGCTATAGCTATATCTGTAGTTCTTCGAATGTAAATCTTAGAATATTAGAAGGGTGATTACGAAATTCAATAGGCAAACTGTATACCATTGCTAAATATAGAAATTTGTATTAAACATCATTCCAAAATATTTATCTGCATAATTTAATTTAGCCCATTTATTTCTATGACTCAAAAGAGTGGAATATAGAGTGAAGGCTTGTAAATTCTAATGCTATTCATGCAAAAATTTCTTCCCAGTTATATTGATAAAGTGCAATATGATTTTCAGTGTAAGTCAAAACTACAAAAAATTAATAACCAAATTAATAACCCCAACAGAACTTTTAGTAAAATTATACAACATATACTTTTATTAAAAATGAGTAAAGTACTTAAAATTTCTGTCATTTTATTGGTTAAATGCTAGAAAGTTTGCTTTTCTATAACATGTTTTGTTAAATTAAAGAAATTGCACAATACAGTGTTCAAAACTAAGCATAATCGAAATTGAATAGTTTAACAGAATCGTAATCATTTGCTGTAAAAATTTACTGATCAAATTATGGTTATAGTTACTGGCACTCAGAGTGCCAGTATTTTTAACCGTAAGAGCCATTTTTACCAGAACATGTTACAAGACAAAAAATTTGATATACCATAATTTTTACAGTAATAATTATAGTAAAATCTATGAATCTCTTAAATAAAATAAATATTATTGTAAAAATTACGGTATAATATTTTATAGTAAAATGGATTTTAATCATGATGCACCAAACTGCTAGTATTTTACACCGTATTTTAATCCAATATTTTTTTACAATGTTGGAATAACGCATTTATCCTTATGCAAATTACTTAATTGCATCACGAGCGTCAAAGCCTTCTTAAGATCAATAACACTTTTCCCGACGCACTTTAGAACTAAACATAAAAAATAACACGAATAAAATTAACCATTTGAAGCCCTAAGCAATAATTAAGCACGGTGTAACTAAATAATCAAAAGTTATTTTTGCCGAAGTCATTTTAAAAATACGAAACAAACAAATAGTTTTTGGTAAACAACATTTAAAAAAAAAAAGTTAAAGGAAAGAAAAAGGAAAAAAGGAAAAAAAAAGTAAAGAATGTATATAGCAGAAATAAAATGCTTTTCACAAACAAACAACGACACAAATAAAAACTAATTTTCGCAATAAACAATCAATTTGTGAAACTTGAACGAATGTAACTAGAGTAAGCAAAAATTAATGTTAGTCAACAGACGTGTTCAAGGCCTTAATGTTTTAGTTAAGGAAGCCAATTGTTTGTTTGTTTTACTTTGGAAGAGCTCCAATACCAATAAATCAATTTTTATTGCGCCAAGTAAACCTAGGGGATGCGTGGAAATGCTCAGACAAAAGCTTTTCCCTTCCAGACATGAATATTAAATATTAATTTGGCGTTGAAAACAAGATATGTTGTTTTATTTGATCTATACATTCATGCAATATTCTTCTCTTGAAATCGGAAAAGCGAAAAAAAAAACAAAGCACAACAAATGATCAAAGAATCAGACTTACTTAATAGTAATGTATTTTCTACATTAATTTTAACTAACGAAATATTATTATTGGAATTCTTTATTTAGAATTAAACTTTAATAAACTAGTTTTTTTTTCGTTATTTTTTTAAAACTGTTTACTTATTTATCATTCATTATATGTTTGGTAGTCTTTAAAAAGTAAGCTAGAGCATGATACTTTTAAGTGATAATCGAATTTTTTCTGTATAAATTTGTGTGAAAAACGGAAATGTTGCATTTTGAATTATTCATAATAGCATGATTAAATATTAACATTACACGATGCAATTTTAATAAATTGAATTAAAAATTGCGATTAAAGTAAAAATAACGGCAGACAGACTTGAAAGTTATTTATTCATGTTGTTCCGCTTTAAAAATATGTAGCAAAACGTATATATTATCTGTATTAGGAAATGTTAATGGAGTATTTATAATAAAATATATCAAAAATATATAATATATTAAAAAATTTAATATATCAAAAATACATAATGCATTAAAAATAAATAATGAAATATATTTTAAAATTAGCTAAAATGATTTCGCATCCAATTAAGCCTACAGTTTCTGACACGAAATATTATGTTATCATGAAAGTATAAATTAATTTTGCACCAATTAAATATACAATTTCTGACTCAAATTCTTATGATATCATGCAAGTATAAAATGCGTTCGCTCTAATTAAATACACAGTTTCTGAGCAGAATTATTGTACAATGAAAGTATAAAATAATTTAGCTCCAATTAAATATATAGTTTCTAGCTCGAATTTTTTCATAAAAATATGAGAAAAAAAATTGCTCCAATTAAATATACAGTTTCTGACTCGAATTCTTATGATATCGTGCAAGTCTAAAATACTTTCTTCCCAATTAAACATAAAATTTCTGAACCGAATTATTGTATCATGAAAGTTTAATATAATTTTGCTCCAATTAAACATGAAGTTTCTGACCCAAATTCTTACAGTATCATAAAAATATAAAACAAAATTCGCTCCTATTAAATATGCAGTTTCTGACTCGAATTTTTATGATATCATGCAAGTATAAAATACGTTTGCTCCAATTAAACATACAGTTTCTGACCCGAATTATAGTATGATGGAAGTATACAATAATTTGTCTCCAATTAAACATATAGTTTCTGACCCAAATTCATAGGGTATCATGAAAATATAAAAAAATCGCTCCAAATAAATATACAGTTTTTGACCCGAAATCTTACGATATCATGAAAGTATAAAATAATTTCTCTACAATTAAGCAGACAGTTTCTGGCCCGAATTCTTAAATTATCATAAAAGTATGAGATACTTTCATTTCGAATAAACATACAGATTTTGATCCGAAGTTTGAAGATAGAAAATAATATTGTTCTGAGTTAATTTATGTTTTTGCATCGAATTATTGGGAGATTTTGCATCTGATTATAGGATTGTATGGGAGAGAAGTTGGAGTCTGGAAGATGAAAATTAGATTTTCTTAGAGAGAGTGAATGAAAGTTTTTTTTTCCTTTAATGTAATTTTTACTTTTTTGTTATTTTTCTCAACTTTTTGAAAGTAATTATGAAGATCATAAATTTAAAATTCCAATTTCTCTAAAAATAAGTAATATTTACATATTTATTTTTTATTGTTTATTTTATCGAAGATCAAAAATTTGGATTATGATTTAGAACAAATTTACAACTACATAAATTTTAGTGATAAAATCTTATATTTGATCAAATGAATAGGAATCATAGAATAGTATCTTAAAAATGAAGATTAAAACATAGAATATATGTGTTTGAGTGTTTATTTTTTAACCATGTTGTAAGCAAAAAACCCTCAAATTGTTGATCTTATTGTTTAAAATTACATTGTGAAAATTACGTATCGGATTGCCCTAAAAAGTATCAGCAATCAGGGTGCCAGTACTTTTATACCAGAACATGTTACAGAACAAATAAACTGACTTATTGTAATTTTTACAGAAATAATTATCGTAAACACACTCTGATTAAATAAATATTACTGTAGAAATTACGGTATAATATATTACGGTAAAATGATTTCTACATTAAAATGGATTTTACAAAAAATTTATTCAAAGTGAGCCCACTTTGTACTGTAATTTGATCCGGAATTTGTTACAGTCTGCACAGTTTGAAAGTATTAACAATTTTTTGTCATCTTAATTTTCAAGTTTTTGGCCAGAAAAAGTTTCAATTTTTAATTTCTCAATTCTTTTTTTTTCTTCTGTTGTTATAATTCAAAAGAATTAATTTACAAAAATGCGCTAAATAAAATCAAAATTTCAATTTACTTTCAAACATCGGGGAATTCAATTTCTCTTAAGTCGGTAGGAATAAGGCCCTAAACTAAACTGTGTAGGATTGTGCAAGTAATTGAGCGCTTATGTGAATATTAATTGTAAAACAATTAATTTCAGAATTGAAAATTTGGATATTATTTTTGATAACTCAATTAGATGTAAAAAGAATTAAAATTATTAAACAAAAATGAAATTCCGAAAAGAAAATTAAGTTTGAGTTTCACTTCAAGTTATAATTTATTACTAGATGGTATTTACTTTCAGCTTTTTCATAGCGATAATTTAGAAAAAAATGTTTTTAATTGAAATTTAATTTTTAAGTCAATAAAGTAACTTCTTGTGAGCTGTAGAATTACAACAAATACAGATAATTTTAAATCAATTTACATCGCTTTCATTTTAGAGAAGATGCGACTTCTATCTTCATTGAAAAATTTATCATGGAAACATTTTAACTGTCATTTCAAAGTATCGCTAAGAAATACTTGTTAAACAAAGTTACCATTTTTCTTCAAAGCCGAAATTCGAAACAAAAATCAAAAACTAAAAGCAAACGATTTCAATTTCTAGGCCTTAAGCTTCCGATCGTTGACTGCCTCTTCTCTTCAGTTTGAGTAATGTTACAGATAAGTACTTGGACAGTTGTGCCACTCCAGAAAATCAGCTTCGAAAAGTTCTGAGGAGGTGATTTTTATTTTCTTTGTAACATCTTCAACAGTAGCTCTTCGATAAAAGTTTCAGATAAGATACTCAGCTTCTGAAATGAAGTAAAATTATCAAGACTCTAAAACAAGAAACCATCAACGCGAAGAAGCAAAGCTCCTTATTCGACAAGCCTACTTACATTTTTTTGGGATCGTAAACCTCTTATCTGAATAGTATGGCTTTGTGGTGTCTTGTACAGAGGGTGCAGTTAAATAACTACCCTCTCTCCAGCCTCGAAAACAAGCGCCGAAAAGTTCTTTTTTTTATGCTTCGTTGTTAAATTAGAACTTAAAGTCATGAAGTTGATATTCGTCTGGGAATTTAGCAGATTATGTGACTCAGATTTTATCATTTAGATGCTTAAGAACTTTTCACTAATGCCGGCGATGTCTTGCTAGAACGTGGTTGATAAAAAATATTATATATTAGGGGGGCATGTTGTGCTTTGCACTGATTTTGGCTTTTTATTTTGTTAGACTTAATGTAATGATTCGAACAATTTAAAAATTGTCTGAGATATATTATATATGTTTGTCTATAATTAAAATCTTATTGTGAGCTAATTCTGCAATGCGCTGAAAAAAAATTATTCTTTAATGTAAAAAATTTGTTCAGTCTGCACAAGTGAGTTGAAACTTGGAACATTAGATTTTTATATTCTTCGCGTGCAGGTCGTCGGGCTACCGAAGCGGGTGTACCCTTCTGCAGAGGATCAAAATTGTGATGGCATGTCTTCGGATCAGCCTCGGAGATGTTCCCCTGCCCGCCAATAGCCCATTGTGCTCCGTAATTGAACAACAAGGATTTTATGTTTTGGATAATTATCATTTCGAGTCCTTGTGTTTTGGATTAGAAAGATGATTGAAGTTGGATGTTCGTTCGATTTAACTTTTCTAATATGGCTTTCATGTATACCTCATTAAATCAAATTTAAAAAATCAAATGTAATACAAAATAAATATTCATTGTAATATTTAAAAATTTTTTTGGCACACTAAGAACATAGTTCAACATTTGGCAACACACATTTTGTATATCCACATTTGCGTCATTTGGTGTTTGTGCATGTACCTTGTACAAGTCCTCCCTCAAAAAGTCCTCCACGGTAGCAAATTTTTCCCAATATTTGATCTAGGAGTTCCCTTTTCTTCTGGATTGGGTTCACAATTACAAGGCTGCGGAGTTGAACATTGGTAGACGTAAAACCAGAATTGGGTCAGATGTTCAACCATGGTTATAAAATAAAATACAAGTACAGCAACGCTTAATTTAAAAATTTATCAAGCATTTAGTTGGAAAAATTATCCAAAAGCTAGAAATTTAAAAAAAGCTCTTTAAAACAGACTCAGAAGACCGGAATTGTCCCACAATATAACAGATAATAACTGTTGCTACGGGTATCACTTAACTATAAAAAATTTTGGATTGAATTATACTATAAAGTCCCTGCTCTTTGGTTGCATCATCCGTAAAATCCATTTTACTGTAAATCCATTTTTACCATGAAATATTTTTTACCATGAAAAATTATACCGTAAAGTTGACATTAATATTTATTTAATTACAATGATTCAGCGATTTTATGATAATAATTATTATAAAAATTATGCTCGATCAGAATATTATGAAAATACGGTAGAGTTTGCTCCGTAACATGTTTCGGTAAAAATTGATTTCGTGGTAAAAAGTATCGGCACCCTGAATACCGGTAATTTTTTCGTAAATTGTATCCGGAATTTCTTACTGTGTAGATATATTCACGGCAGAATTTATCTATTACACAGCAAAAGAAAAATATTTTCTCAGATTCAAGGAGCATGAAATCTAAGGTACAACATTCTCCCTTTTAAAAGTTCTTTCGCGGAAAATACTCTTAGTTTTTTATTTTGAATTTTCCATCACTTTGCTTAAAAACTAGCTTGTTTGATACGAAAAAAATTCCGCTTCGTTGTTAAATAATAACTTAAAGTCATAAAGTAGAAGACTCAGTATATGCTTCAGATTTTATTAAGAGCAACTTGAGAAGTTTTTTTTTCTAGAGCTGGGAATGTCTTACTAGAACGTGATAGTTGAACATTGCATGCATTATGAAAGAAAGGAATTTTTAGAGGAACGCATTCTTCATTGGTGTGTCTTAAATTTTCTATTACTTGCTTAGCAAAACAGCTAATTGGATTCATAAAATTATCCCTTTTTTTAAAAAAATAGTACGTTAACTTATGAATTAGATATTTGTCATGAATTATGCACAGTATATGGCACATTTTTTTATGATTTGGATTCTTAAAGGCTTTCCACCAATGACGTCAAACGTCTTGTTAAAACGTAAGAGAAGAAAATTACGCACAATTATATACATATATATATACTGAAAACTTAGTTGTTTTAAAGGCGGACATTCTGTAAATGAAGGAAACGGATACGTTTGTAATATCCCATCTGGGATATCCATAATACTTTTTGTGAAAATAATACACTAATGAATAAAATAACGCTAAAATCTGTACTAACAAAAAGAAGTGAGAAATAATTTTGTAAGTTATGATTTTTTTAAATAACAGTAACATTAATTTTGCTTAGTTTGTTTCGCACGTATTTTGCGTTATGAGAACAATTTTTATTTAAGTAATTTTACTTAGCAGCAATAAATTCCGAACAAAAATCAACTGACCAAATTTACCAGTTCCTCGAAACTATTTTTCATTGGAAACAACACAGGTATTCTTAAAAAATTTAAGCAAAACTTTGATTTTAAACTGTGAAAGTTCAATTACAAATAATGTCCTGTTGCTGCTAAATTTCAAATCGCCAGTTACAACTGATGTGGGTTAAGTAATAGCATGGAACTTTTTAACTAAATGGAAGTTACATTGTATTTCATTTTAATTTAAATGTGTTTCTAGCATTCATTAATATTAATTTAAATGTATTACTAACATTCATTCAGCTCAACTTAGGAGTATTAAAAGTTGAACTAATTTTTTTAAGGAATTTTGGCACCAGCGTTACCGATTATTTGATTTATTAGAGTTACTATTAGTCGTGTTACTTATATTTTTGTAGAAAATGTTAAAATGAAGTAAAGAAAAGAATAGTTTAAAAAAATGTAAATTCATCAAAATTTTAAAAAAAATACATAAATCATGCTATTTGAAGCATTTTAAAATGTAGAAAATCTTTTCAATCAGTCTTCTCTTTATTATACTAATGCGTTATAGCATAATCAATTGTGTACAGTGCAAAACACGAAAATGGATATCTTTAATCGTCCTATTTGCCATTAATACAATTACGGTTAATGTGGACTATTACGGTTGAATGATGGATATTTTGAAATTATCTCAAGTTTACTTGGATGCTTATATAGCGCTGCCAACAGATTTTTGCACTTTCCTGAGTTTTGGTGAAAAAATCAGAATTAAACTATTTAAGTATCCCCTTACTAAGCATCTCCTATTTTCACAGAATAGATTTGTAACTCTTCAAAACTTTTCTCATTTTTTTTCACTTGAAATTAAAATGCTAAACTATATTCAGTTGTTGTTATACTATAATTTTCTTGCCATTTTACTTAATGCAAAAGCATAACCAAACTCAGATTCCCAGAGTTAAGGATTTACTGATTTGCAAATTTGAGTTTGGACATTGTGTAGGAGTTTAGACTTTGCTTTAATATACTTAAATATGGAATTCTTTGTACTCATTTTTCACTCTTAAATGTCTAAAAAATGCATTTAAATGTATTGTCTTGAACATATTTCTTTTCTTTTTGACAAAAAAGGGATTAAAAAAACGACCCCATAAATATGTACTATAAAAAAGGTCATTATTGCTATTAGAGTTAATAATTAGTTTGATGACTTTTACACACGGTTTTTATTTATGCAGTTTCATATTTAACACTCAAAGTGTAAAACATATTTAAGATTACTTATTATAAATATTTTTATTTTTTCAAAAAAGGTGGATAAAAAATATTAATAATAAAATTGTTAGTTTCACCATAATAAATTTGACTACAATAAATTTTTACAAGAAATAGGGTATTTATTTCTTTTTTCGTCAAAAAAGGGATTAAAAATATGACCCTATAAGCATGTACTATAAAAAAGGTCATTATTGCTGATAGAGTTAATAATTAGTTTGATGACTTTTACACACAGTTTTTATTTATGCAGTTTTATATTTAACACTCAAAGTGTAAAACATATTTAAGGTTACTTATGATAAATATTTTTACTTTTTCAAAAAAGGTAGATAAAAAATATTAATCATAAAATTTTTAATTTCACCATAATAAATTTGACTACAATAAATTTTACAAGAAACAAGGTATTTATTTCTGCTAAATAAAACTATTATAAAAAATAGCTCTATTGAATCTTGAATGTGATATGAAATCTTTTAGAAATATATTAATTGAAGCGTACATTATTGTTCAAACTCAAATGTAGGAAATATATTTTAGTATAATCATTTTATGTACAAACTATTTTAAAAAAATAAGAAAGAGACAGAGAGAGAGATAAAATACGTTATAAAATAAGAAATATTTGCTATACTATTAATATTAATTACTTTAAGAAACTTTCAATCATAAAATGTGCACTTATTACTAAAACTAATTTTTTATTCTATGGATTTAAAAATAAGCTAGTTTTTTTTAATATTTACTATTTATAATAAAAGAACACACAGCATTAGAAAAATCTTAAGTAGCCTTTTGTTTCTAATTTAATGTATTAAACATAGTAAATTTTCAGTTAGTCTAAGTATACAAGACTTAAAAAAGATTTTATCTTTCTATTAAAAAACTTCTTACTGTAAGTTGGTAAGTTTTAGAAACTTAAATCAGAAACTAATTTTTAAAAAAAATTAAAAGCATCAATATATAAATTTCTAAAAAAAAAACTGATTGGTGTATAATTTTAATTTCAAACAAAAATAGTTACGAGGTTACTAAATATAGTTTTCTCAGCGCATTCCTTAAAAAAATAAAGCAGGATAATTTTTTCTCATAGCCAGCTCTTAAAAACCTTCCCAGTAGCTTAAACGGAATTTTAATAATCGAAAATACATACTTTGGTCTTCTTTTTCATTTCAAGCACTATACTCCAATTCCTCGAATCATAATTCGGTCTTAAAGAAACATCAGCGATCACGACACAATTCTCAAGAATCAAAATAAAAAATCTAACTAAGAAAATTGCTATGTCTTGGCGGTACTTTTATGAAAGGTTCAATAACAAGAAGTAAATAACTCGATGATTACATATCGTGCAAAAATCAATTATCATCGTCTCTTGGCTTCACGAAAAAAATATCCATAACTTCCAACATCAATTGAGCCAGACATACAAATTAAAGAATAAAACTCGAGTATTCCGTTAAAAGGTCCACATTAAAGTCATGAAACAAGAACACATATTGCGATTTTCCTTTTTTAAGAGACATAAATTCTTTATCAATGGAATAATTACGAAATATTAAACGAACACCAAAACGATCTTCTGTGAAACGTTTAGTCTCTTTAGTTCTTTAAGTTTATTTAGTTCTTTTAGTTTATTTTTTCATCTAAACAGTGATTATTGTAGAAAATGATTTGCGAACGTCATCTACATCTATGAGTAATTATCTCTTAATATAACTCCTCGTTTGGAGAGGAGTAATTATCTACCTTTTCTTCAGCGGCTTTTTGAAGATGTTGCAGATATTACGTCAATTACCGTTTGGAGTGAATGTGAAAACTCTTTCTTTCGAATTTTTTTTTTATATATTATTTTTATCGAAATTATATATTCACGATCAATTTACTTTAAGTTTTCAATAGGAAATTAAACTCTTAAGTGCATTTTCTCTGCATGGCTAAAAACGTTCCAGATCTTTTTGATCTTTGCTTTGTGTTTATTTAGAATGGTAAAAATGAATTTTTACGTTTGTACGCTTCTAAGTTTATTACATGTAATTAAATTGTAAAAGACCATTTTTGTATCGTTAAAAAAAGCCAATGATCGAAAGTATTTCATTTATTTCGTTAGATTTAAAGATTTCTGGTTTATCATTTTCAAAATGTTTGTTAATAAGAATGTTTAAATATAAAAAAAACATGCAGTTAATAAAAATAAATTATGCGTCTTCAACTAGGTATTTTTAAATAAGTTAATTGTTCACTATTTTGATGTTAGTTCGAGATTAAATTTAAGGATTTAACTTTGAAGAATTTTACGCTTTAAAGCACATTTAGAGGGTATATTTAGATTTTAATATGTCTCGTAATATAAAACAATACTCATTAATTTAGGAACATATAAGTATTATTTCTTAAGATGAAATTAAATTGTAAATCAAACATATACATAGTACAGAGAGAATATATGAATTTGAACAATGCTTAACAAAATGAAAGCGGCTAAAAGCTAGTTGAAATAAACTTATTTAATTCAATTGACAAATTTATGTAGGGAAGAGTGGAGTGATATCGAATTATGTCAAAATTGCTTTATTTTTTAGCAGATTCGGTTCACTTTATAACTTTTTGAATTCGAAAGCTTTCATATATGCATTTTAAAGGCTTAAATATAAAATGTTCAAATTTAGTAATTACAACAAAAATTCCAATGTTTTGAGTTCCATTAAAATCCAACCCTCTTTGAAGCATTTTTTTACATTCAGAAGCATTTTGTGCTAACTTAAAACTCAAACGAGAAATAATTTGAAATTTATGATTTTAAGTGAATCTTTCAACTATATTTGTTATCGCACATTGCGCGAAATTTTTCCGATTCCTTATAATTTTTTGGCCAAATATATCTTTTCTGTAACCAAAGAGAAATAGACAAAAATTTATCTATATATCATTTCATAAACGAAAGAACTAACTGAATAAATAAATTCAGCTTGACTTACTAGTAACAAAAATGTAATTGATATTCGATTAAATAGCCTTGTAATTCTTTTTGAAATATTTGGCTAATTATCAATTACTACAGAATTCGAAATAAATTAATGTTCAATAACTCCAAAAATACCAATTAAATAGACGCATTAAAAATATTTAATGCGACTTTTTACATAAAAATATTGCAATAGTTTTAGTTAATACAAAGTTTCTTCCAACACTTAGATATGCAATAATGCTTATCTTACAATCAAGTAAGAGTAAATCATTTCTGTTATATCGTTGACATAACTATCATTTTATGCCATTAATAGAACTCCTAATAGTTAAAATGCAAATTTTCAAACTGAAATGCAAAAAGAAGTTATTTTTGAGTGTCTTTATCATATGGATAGTACGAGATCTGAATATGAATGATGGAATAAAAAAAGTTATCTTAATAGTTGAAGCCTGAGCAGAAGTTGTAGATTCATATTGATTAAGAATATTAACGAGAATTCTTTGGAAAAAACAACCTATTAATTATACTAATATTACATGTGGCTTATTTTCTTATCGAAAATGCCGATTTAGAGAAAAAAAGTTTAATACTCTCTCAGGGATTGAATATAAATTAAAAATCGTTACTTTGTTTAATAGGAAATTAATCGCCTTGCAATTATCGATGCAATTATAGCCCAATCAATCGTTTTATTGAATTTGTTTAAAATAGTTTTTGATATTCGGTGATTTTGAGTGAATTGAATATGTAATGACAAATTATATATTTTTTTCTTTTAAATTGTAAATTTTTCAATAATTTAAGCATAATTAACTTTCATACAAAGTATGCGTGTGCAACAAAGGTGAATTCTTTCGCTAATTTCTTCTGAATGTTTTCACCGGAGCATCTTCGGAATTGCTTTCGATAATTTTGCTTAATGAAGAAAAATATTTATTGGGGATGGATCTTTCGTTCGTTCCATGCCTTGGGTACAACATAATTTTGCATTAAAAATTTATTGAGAATTCAGTTTTAACGTATAATCTCATACTCTTCTGTTTCTAGATATTTGTCCCAAAACATTACACAATGCTGGTGTTTTGTTCAAAGTAAAGATAGAGTAAACTTAATTTGAAAATTGATACTTCACAAAGAAGAAATTCGAAGTCAATATTCTGTATAAAAATATGGTCCTATATCTCCCTCTAACATTAACCCATAATATTCAAATTGGACCTCGTATTATATTACCGGGTAATAGTGTACCATACCAGAGGAAATAATTATAGACCTTATAGGGGGTACACAATGTGGCCCTGTAGTTTACAATGTATGTATATCTAAAATAGTCTTCTGAAAAGCTTCAAAATGAGGAAATTCGTCTTCTAAAGAGCTTTAAAAATTTGAAGTCATTTTTCAATATTAACTAACTCAAGGCCCGATATCAGACCTTAATATTAACCCATAATATTTTAATTGGACCACGTATTATATTACCGGGTAATAGTGTACCCTACCAGAGGAAATAATTATAGACCTCATAGGGGGTATACTATGGTAATAGAGTGTCTTTACTATGTACACTTTTACTAATTTAAATGTGTTAATTATGAGTCATAATTTTTTTTTCGCAAGCTTGCGCCAAAGTCTCTTTTAAAATTTTTTTCTGTTTTATTGCATCCTTAAGAAAATATTGATTACAGGAGTCTTTTAAGCGTTTTTTTTGGTAAGAAATTAATATAATGATTAAAAATATTTTCTCTCTGTACATAAAAAAACAGTAGGGGCAATTTACTATATTCATTTCATCTCCAACTGTTGCGTTTCTGATTAATCCTCCCTCAAAAGCACCCAATTGGAAAATTTTGTTCATGGTAAAAATGCATAAAGTTAAAAAAAAAAAACTAAAAATGCATCAAGTTAAAAAAAATAAAAAATTCTTTTAAGGTAGTATTAGTGTGCATTTATAGTGTATTTTTTCTTGCTTGGAAGATTCTGTTGAGTTTTTAAGTATCTTTCAAAAATTTCCATCTGAGAAACAATCCCGAAAGAAGATTCGAGTTGAGGTGAACTAATAACCTCTCAAATTAATTTTTTGATAAAAGTGGCCTCTTTAATGGTCACAAGGTCTGTGGCCATTTCACCACCTTCTCTAACGGTTTTGTTTCTTGATATTTGGCTCAGAAAACTTGCCAATAAAGATGAATTAAAAGGTTCAATTGCTCTTAAGCAAATAATAGCATCTATTTGTTACATGTAATGTAGATCTATACTGCTTTTTAATACTAATGATAAGTTTTATAAAGGTAAATTCAAGCAATTTTGAAATTTTTTTCAGTGAAAAAAGGTATTCAATGTGAAGAAGAACCCTTTTCCATTATGCTTCCTTTTTCGGGTAACCGAAATCAAAGTCCTTTTGTTTATCCGGGACATTTTCCATAACTCACAAATACGCTTGCAGGTACCTCCAGTGATGTAAGTCCTTGAGCTCCTCCCAAAATGCCTCTTCGAATCATGAGAATGATTCTCTGCAAATTCATGAAATTTTCTTGAGAATCAATCTTTCTGATTATCATTGCTGATTTCTTTGATGAGACGTTATTTAAAAGGCAGTGAAAATATTCCTTCGTTTTAATTATTTAATTACATTTTTTTCTTAAAATCAGAAGAAATGCATTTTCGTTGTAATTCTATTTTCTAGAATTTAGTTTCCTGTATTCTTTCATTTTCCTTAAAACAAGTACCTTTTTCTTCAAACAATTCATACCTCAGTGTAAGTGATATTTAATATGAAGAAGAACCCTTTTCCTTATGCTTCCTTTTTCGGGTAACCATAATCAAAGTCCTTGTTTATCCTCGACATTTTCCTTAACTCATCGGTGCGTTGCAGGTACCTCCTGCGATTAAAGTCCTTGAGCTCCACCCGAAATATATCTTCTAATATGAATCTACAAACAATTATTTTTTTTTCACTAGAATCAACTCCCGCAGAACATCTGGACGCTGGCAGCAGCTGTCCTTGCATCAAGGTCGACAGACAAAGTGACAATCAAGATGACAGAGACATCAGGTAAAGCTTGGCTATCGTCGTTTAGTATGTTAGCCATGAAATCCATCGATATTTAAAAAGGAAACATTAGGCGACTGCTTGAGCAATATATCATGGTGCAACATTTGCTGATAATTGCACGTTATGAAAGGGATTGGTGAAAATTAGTGTTGATTCAGGAACAGGTGTTATTAAAATTAATCGCAACATGCAAATAAATGCTAGGGTTAATATTTTAATTTATATTCAATAATTTACATTGTGAATAAGTATTCCTAAAAATACATAAATAAAATAGGTTGTCTAATATTTAATTATACTAGGGAATTATTTGCATGCGAAATGAATTAACAATATAAAGTTTTTGTTCTTGCGGTCAACTTATTAATTCAGTTTTTATAAAACGATTCGTTTAATTTAAATATGACAAAGTGATGTATTTCATTTTAGAAGTAATTATTTTATTTGAGTACATTTCGTTTGAATACGGAATTCCTTTGGGAAAGTTGTGATATAACTAAAATGTTTTTAAAGTCATTTCTGTAAATATTTTCAGTCTATAGGAGAAAACTACATGAGCATTACGTAATTTGAATTTAGCTTAATAAAAGCT